GATCGTCCCAATACTGGTGGTGGTCCTGAGGTTCATGGCTTCTTCCCCGTGGTCATTCCAATACTGGTGGCTGTCCTGAGGTTCATGGCTTCTTCCCCGTGATCGTCCAATACTGGTGGTGGTCCTGGGGTTCATATCTTCTTTCCCGTCGTCGTCCCAATACTGGTGGCTGTCCTGAGGTTCATGGCTTCTTCCCCGTGGTTGTCCCAGTACTGGTGGCTGTCCTGAGGTTCATGGCTTCTTCCCCGTGGTCGTCCCAATACTGGTGGTGGTCCTGAGGTTCGTGGCTTCTTCTCCGTGGTTGTCCCAGTACTGGTGGTGGTCCTGAGGTTCATGGCTTCTTCCCCGTGGTCGTCCCAATACTGGTGGTGGTCCTGAGGTTCATAGCTTCTTCCCCGTGGTTGTCCCAGTACTGGTGGTATTCCTGAGGTTCATGGCTTCTTCCCCGTGGTCGTCCCAATATTGGTGGCTGTCCTGAGGTTCATGGCTTCTTCCCCATTGTCGTCCCAATACTGGTGACTGTCCTGAGATTCATGGCTTCTTCCCCGTTGTCGTCCCAATACTGGTGGCTGACCTGTGGTTCATGGCTTCTTCCCCGTGGTCGTCCCAATACTTATGGTGGACCTGAGGTTCATGGCTTCTTCCTCATGGTCGTCCCAATACTGGTGGTGGTCCTGAAGTTCATGGCTTCTTCCCCGTGGTTGTCCATGTAGTAGTGGTGGCCCTGAGGTTCATGGCTTCTTCCCCGTGGTCTTCCCAATACTGGTGGTGGTCCTGAGGTTCATGGCTTCGTCCCTGTCGTCGTCCCAATACTGGTGGCTGTCCTGAGGTTCATGGCTTCCTCCCCTGTGGTCGTCCAATACTGGTGGCTGTCCTGAGGTTCATGGCTTCTTCCCCGTGGTCGTCCCAATACTGGTGGTGGTCCTGAGGTTCGTGGCTTCTTCCCCGTGGTTGTCCCAGTACTGGTGGTGGTCCTGAGGTTCATGCTTCTTCCCCGTGGTCGTCCCAATACTGGTGGTGGTCCTGAGGTTCATGGCTTCTTCCCCGTGTTTGTCCCAGTACTGGTGGTGGTCCTGAGGTTCATGGCTTCTTCCCCATTGTCGTCCCAATACTGGTGGTGGTCTTGATGTTCATGGATTCTTCCCCGTGGTTGTCCCAGTACTGGTGGTGGTCCTGAGGTTCATGGCTTCATTCCTCGTGGTCGTCCCAATACTGGTGGTGGTCCTGAGGTTCATGTCTTCTTCCCCGTGGTCGTCCCAATACTGGTGGCTGTCCTGAGGTTCATGGCTTCTTCCCCATTGTCGTCCCAATACTGGTGGCTGTCCTGAGGTTCATGGCTTCTTCCCCGTTGTTGTCCCAATACTGGTGGCTGTCCTGAGATTCATGGCTTCTTCCCCGTTGTCGTCCCAATACTGGTGGCTGTCCTGTGGTTCATGGCTTCTTCCCCGTGGTCGTCCCAATACTTATGGTGGACCTGAGGTTCATGGCTTCTTCATCGTGGTCGTTCCAATACTGGTGGTGGTCCTGAGGTTCATGGCTTCTTCCCCGTTGTCGTCCCAATACTGGTGGTGGTCTTGAGGTTCATGGCTTCTTCCCCGTGGTTGTTCCAGTACTGGTGGTGGTCCTGAGGTTCATGGCTTCTTCCCCGTGGTCGTCCCAGTACTGGTGGTGGTCCTGAGGTTCATGGCTTCTTCCCCGTGGTCATCCCAATACTGGTGGTTGTCCTGAGGTTCATGGCTTCTTCCCCGTGGTTGTTCCAGTATTGGTGGTGGTCTTGAGGTTCATGGCCTC